CAGAAAGGTCCCTGCTCCCTCCAGACTTCAGGGCCACCCAGTTGTCTTAGGGGTAGCGTTCTTCACAAAGTGTATGCCATCTGCTTTTTGTGCCTGTGTGTTCACTCAACACCCTCTGGGAGTTTGTCTGCTATTTGTAGGGTTTTGAGCTCGTCACTCTCGCTGACCAGAAGTGCTTTCATTTCTGGTCTCCTGAGTATGGCCAATCTTTTATGTGTCAGTTTAGGATTCACTTTGCTCTGGGAGGTAAGAGAGATCCTCCATTGCCAGTCTGGCCTGTATGTTTCTTTTTCTCTCTCTCTCTTTTTTTTCTTTTTTGTGTTTGTTGTTATTGTTTGATTTTGGAACTCACCTAGCTATGCTCATGCTCAGGGCTTATTTCAGACTCTGCACTCAGGGGTCACTCCTGGTGGACTCAGGGGATCATACGTGTTGCCAGGGATTGAACCTGAATCATCAGTGGGTAAGGCAAGTGCGGTACCCACTGTGCTATCGCTCTGGCCCTGGCATGTATGTTTCTGTGCGGGAAATTAACAGATGGCAGAAAAGGCCTTGGGAGAGAAGCTGGTTCCTTGGTTCCTTGCTGAACCATGAAAGTCGATGGTCAGGCCACGTTTTCTCACTTTCTCTTACCCCTGCTCTGTCCTCCACTGTTCAGGCTCTCTTCAGATGCACGGCCCGGGGCTGAGATGGAAGATAAACATTGAATTCTTTGAATTTCTAACTAAACCCTATAATGCTACTGCGTCCAGTGACCTGGTTCATGGCGGAGCACAGTCCTTGTACGCATGAGGGCCTGACAACCCTGTCCAGAAAAACACAGCCTATGTCAGAGACTAATTTTTCAGTTGAGGTAAAATTGGCATGGGATCACTGTCTTTGCTTCAGGGATACAACAGAATAGCTTGATTTCTTTTTCTTTTTTTCTTTTCGTTTTTTTTTAATACAGTGAGAGCATCACACCAATGGCCAAGTCACCATCTGTCACAAACATTATTTTTGTTGTGATGAGTACTTAGAAGATTTCTGTTCCTGGCCACTTTCAGATATGCAATACAATATTCTTGATGGGAGTCGCCAAGCCTGAGTATAGTCCATTTCCATGATTTATTTATATTATAACTGGAAGTCAACCCCCTTGACCCTTTCACTCATTTTGCCCAGCCCCCACCTCCTTCCCCTCAGGCATCGACCAATCTGTCAGAGAAGAGATTTTTAAAAATTCCAGTTTTTAAATCGCAAGTGCCAGATTCCAGAGAGGGGGATTTTTTCCCCCTCTGTCAAAACTTCCTTGAAATATCAAGGAACAGAGTCAGAGAGATAGTGGGGGTTGGGGGGGGCGGGCAGGATAAGTCACTTGCCTTGCACTGTGGCTGACCTGGTTGTGAATGTACATATCACCAGTCACCTGAGCACAAAAGTCAGGAATAACTCCTGAGCACTGCTGCGTGTGACCCAGAAGCCTGTGCCCCCTGCAATAAAATAAATAAATAAATATCAGAAGACAGGCTCTTCCTTGTAAACCTATATGTGAGAACCCCAGGCGTGGTTCCTGGCACCGCATGGTCCTAACCACCAGTGTGTGTGGTCCCTGAGTAGAGTGGCAGGGGTGGCCCCCCTCAAAAGGATGCTTCCAGGGCGGCCAAAGCTGAGTGCTCAGATAATGGAGGAGAGGTGCATGGTTGTAGTCAGGGATCGTATGGAGATGTCATAGTCCCAGGAAGAGCAGAGATGGGAGCCCACAGTGCTCCCCTAGGAAGCAGAGGCTGCACTTTGTACCAAGACCACACCACCACCTGCTGGAGAACTTTGAGGCAGCTACAATGGCAGCCAAGGGCTAAAGCTGAGAAAGGAAGCAACACTCTGGTATCTGGGAGCTAACAGAGGCCCAGATTGTGCCCCCCCAAAAAAACTTTTCTTTTTCGCTTTTTGGGTCACAATCAGCAAGGTTCAGGGGTTAACCTAGCTCTCATTCAGGAGTCGCTCCTGGTGGTGCTTGGGGGATCATGTGGGATGCCAGGGATTGAACCCGGGCCAGCCACATGCAAGGAAAACGCCCTCCCTGCTGGACCAATGCTCTGGTCCCTAGAATGACTCTTTTTTAAAAAAATTTTTATGTCGGAGTACTGCTATTTATTCAGCCACTGATTAGCTGATTGAATTGGGCATGAACTCCACCTTACCTTTTTTTTTCATTTTTTATAATTTTATTTATTGAATCACCATGAGAGCAGCTACAAAGCTTTCGGGTCTAAGTCTCAGTCAGACAATAAAACACCCGTACCTTCACCGTGCCCATTCTCCACCCCCAACAACTCCAGTACACCCCCATCCCACATCCTCCCCCTACCTGTGGGGCAGATGATTTCCACATTACTCTCTCTCTCTACTTTGATCACATTCAATATTTTGACACCAGACCCACCATTATTATTTGAGATTTTACCCCAACACTCTGATCTGCCGAACAGGCAACAGTAAACAATTTGTTTCCTATTGCTGGTTGTGAATAACATATAATGTTGTGTGGCTGCAGTAGTGGCCACGTGATTTTGAAATTCTGAAACACTTAAATCTGGAGGGATTTCTGCCCAAACCTGCTGGGTTCCAAGATTGGCTCCTGAGTCTCTGGGATCATGGTCGTTAAGCCACTTGATCAGGAGCCTGAGAGGCCGTTCGTGGGTAATGATTTGGGGTCTCGTTGGGGTGGGGAGGACAGGCCCGGCTCCACCCCCATCCCGTGAGGCCCAACAAGTTTCATTACTGTGGGCCCAGACCTGACTGTCCAATGGCCTCTGGAGGATGACGGCCACTGAGCCGCCAAGGGGGAGCAGGCGGAGGGAGGGACAACACCTTTTCCCCCCTGGGGTGGCCCAGCGACAGTAACCTACTGCGGGGTCCGGACACATTTCTGCCAAAAGCCGCTGGGTTTCAAGATTTGTTTCTGAGTCTCTGGGATCAAGGCCGTCAAGCAGCTTGATAAGGAGCCAGAGAGGCCGTTTGTGGGCTATGACTTGGGGTCTCGTTGGGGTGAGGAGGACAGGACCAGCTCCACCCCCATCCCGTGAGGCCCTGTGTGTCTCGTCACTGGGGGCCCTGTGGCCTCTGAAGGATGGTGGTCATTGGGCCGCCGGGGGAAACAGGCCACGGCATGAAACCTATTTCCACCTGGGTTGGCCAGAGAGGCCTTGCCTCCAATTATATAGCTGAGCCGGAGATTGTGGGTGTGTTTTCCACATACCTAACTTTTGGCCATTTACTTTCTTGGTAACTTTGTGCCAAGTCTTTGGGGTCTGGCCAAAGGCACAGCAACAATTTTGGGGTATCTGGAAGTCTGAAGGCGCCATTAGGCTGCTGATGCACTCACCTCATAGGTACAGATTGACCGGCTGGCGGCACCATACCCCCTCAGAATGACTCTTGACCTTCACCATCTTCCCTGATTTCAGAAAGATACGTGAGCCCCCACGAGAGCCTCATGAGTTGGGGACTGGCAGGAGGATCCTGAGAAATTGAATTCAGACTTTGAGATGAGGCCCCAGAGAGAGAGAGAGTGCAGAGATGGGAGCCCAAGCAAAGGCACTTACCTTGTTGCGACCCTGGTTTGAATCCCCAGCACCACATTTGTCCTCCTGTGAAGTTCCAGGGGTCACTCCTGAGCTCAGGACCAGAGAATAGGCCCTGAGCACCACCAGGTGTGGCCCCAATTCCCCAGTCAAAAAAAAAAATGCTTGAGACGATTGAATTGCTGAAGATTCTGATTTTTCTGCCAGTAAGATAACTGGGAACTAATGGACCACTAGGTTGAGAAATAAAGGACATGATTTTCTCACTTGACAATGTGTCTGTTTTTTGTTTGTAGGTCACACCTGGTGGTGCTCAGGCCTTACCTCTGGCTCTGCAAGCAGGGAATCACTCCTCCTGGGGCTCGGGGACCATATCCAGTGCCAGGGATCAAACCTGGGTCAGCCATGTGCAAGGCCGATGTCTTACTCACTGCACTGTTGCTGTGGCCCTTGACAATGTGTCTTGAATTCATATGCAAGCCTATTGCACAAGCCAAGTTTACAAAGCAGGGAGTCACAGAGCGTTCCAAGGACTCACTTGATTTCTGGCGGCCATGGTGGGTTGGGGGGTAGGAATAATTCCAGCTCTGGACAGGAGTGGGAAAGATTGATTTGAAAGCTGAGGTCTTCAGCTGAGTCTGTACAAGTCCAAGTCACACGGTGCTGTGGGAAGAGCTGGAGCACGAAGAGCAGAGTCCGCCCTCCAGCTCCAGCTCCAGGAAGAGAAGTCTGGGGTGCTGGGCCACCAGGGATGTAGCCTAAGCTGATCACTGCTGTGGGTACCAGCTGTTGGAGACTGAATGGAAGAAACTGGGACTTGAGCGAAGACATGGAAGTCAAACATCCATTTATCTCTGTCCACTTTGGATTCAAAATAACACTTATTTATGGACTGTCCTCCCCAAGCTATTTTTAACTGGCAAACCTAAACCCCATTAAAAACGGGGCCTAAAAATAAATAAATAAATAAATAAATTTTAAAAAATAGGACCTAGGGGCTGGAGAGATAGCACAGTGGGTAGGGCGTTTGCCTTGCACACGGCCGACCCAGATTCGATTCCCAGCATCCCATAGGGTCCCCTGAACACCGCCAGGAGTGACTCCTGAGTGCAGAGCCAGGAGTAACCCCTGTGCATCGCTGGGTGTGACCCAAAAAGCAAAAAAAAAAAATAGGACCTAAAAACCCACTTGATTCCCCCCCCCCCCCGCTTTGTTTTTGGGTCATACCTGGCAGTGCTCAGGACTTATTTCTAGCTCCTTAGGGGACCCTATGTGGTGCCGGGAATCAAACCTGCATCAACCTTGTTTCAGGCAAGCACTCAACCCTCTGACTATTGCTCCAGCTCCTAAAACCCATTTGAATAATCCTAACCCATCTTGGAGCAGGCTGTGATCAGTCCCGGATCTCAACATGGAATATTTTACCTGGCAGTCATGAATGGCATCTTGCCTCTAAGCAGTTTAGGCCAGGCGTACCTGGAGCACACCAGCCCTTGGTGAGCATTCTGCCGAGACTTCCGGTGCATCTGCGATGGTTTGTCAGGATCTATTTCATATTAATAGCTGAGGCAAAGTTTTGGGGTTCCTGAAAAACTCACAGTGCCAGATGCTGTAGAAGAAATGTTTCACATCTACCCTTAACGTACTAGAAGTTTGAGGTCACTTTCTATGTTGTGAGTAACCTCTTTCATTGGTGCTGGGGAACACAGCTGGCGATAAGCCATTCCAACTCATGTTGGCAGCTGGAACTTCCTGGTAGTTAAGACACAAGACTCAGAGTCACATGACCTGTTAGAATTCTGACCGCTACCTTCTAACTGAGTGACCTTGGACAAGTGATTTAACTTCTTTAACCCTTGGTTTCCACAGGGGGTGGGGGGGGGCTAATTCAAATTGAGAGTGGGGTGAGAAATTCAAGAATGCATATCAGGAGCAAGATGCCTGTGCCAGATCAGGGCATCGCATATCTTAGCTGTTGCCAGTATCATTATCTTTACTTGTTTCATACGAAGGCAAATCTTGCCTTAAGTAAAATGCAAAGGTACAAAAATCTAGATTTGCTTCTTGAATGGTTAACTGGAGGTGGTGAGTTTTCCTGTAGAAATGAACTCTTTAGTTTATGAAAGAACCGAGAAACAGGATTTCTTTTCAATAATCAAATTCCCCATATGCCTAAAAGCATTTGACTCGCATCCAAGTGTGCAACGTTTAGCATGCAAATCCCAGGACCTCTGCAGTGCAAACTTTAGACTGAGTTTTAAAGCTCTGTGACAAGTTTACAATAGCAATCCCACGGCCTCAGTGATAGTACAGCGGGGAGGGCGTTTGCCTTACAAGCAGCCAACCTGAGTTTGACCCCTGGCATCCCATATGGTCCCCTTGAGCATTGCGAAGAGTAATTCCTGGGTGCAGAGCCAGGAGTAACTCCTGAGCATTGTGGAATGAGACCCAAAAAGCCAACAACAGGGGTCTGGAGTGATAGCACAGCGGGTAGGGTGTTTGCCTTGCACGCAGTCAACCCGAGATTGATTCCCAGCATCCCATATGGTCCCCTTGAGCATTGCGAAGAGTAATTCCTGGGTGCAGAGCCAGGAGTAACTCCTGAGCATTGTGGAATGAGACCCAAAAAGCCAACAACAGGGGTCTGGAGTGATAGCACAGCGGGTAGGGTGTTTGCCTTGCACGCAGTCAACCCGAGATTGATTCCCAGCATCCCATATGGTCCCCTGAGCACTGCCAGGAGTAATTCCTGAGTGCATGAGCCAGGAATAACACCTGCGCATTGCTGGGTGTGACCCAAAAAGCAAAAAAAAAAAAAAAAAAAGCCAACAACAACAACAGAAAGCAGTAGCAATCCAGGGTGTCTGCACTCCCCTTTAGAAAGGAATTAGATGAATTCCCTGGGGTTTCAAAGGACAGAGCTGAGATGAAGGGGTGGAAGAGACAGTTGGGGGTGGGGAGGGGAAAATTCGGTTCAACACAGTGAAAAACCCTACCAGGTGATTGCTGGGCTCTGAAGTGATGAAGTTCTCAGCATTGAAGTCAAAGGTGGGTATCAATTGAGTAAATTATTGGAATGACTATTGCAGGTCATCGGGAGGTGAACTAGGGCAGTGCATCCCACACATAAACACATGTCACTATGCCAGCTGGGTTAGTTCCCTACACTGGGGGTCAGGAGGAAGTGGAAGAAGGAGATAGAGAGAGAGGCTGGTTAAGGGGGAGGGGGGTGGTGAGATCAAGGAAATAAATTGGAAAAAAAATATAGCCTCTCTGGTTGGGAAATATTAGATTAAATTACTTCTAAGATTTCCTCTAATTTCAAGATTCTAAAGCTCTCAAATGGTTTCACAGATGTTATTTTAATTATATTCCTGGGAGAGTTTTCCTATTTTAGTTGTGGAAAACTAGAACATAACACCTCAAGTAAGTGGTAAAGTGGGCAAAGAATTCAGACATCCTGACCCTTTTATTTTTGTTTTTTGGGCTACATAGTGCCCTGGGCTCATTCCTGGCAGTGCTCAGGGGGTGATATGGGCTGCCGAGTATTGAGCCCGGGTCGGCCATGTACAAGGTAAATGCCTTACCTGCTGGACTGTTGCTCTGACTGAACCCCTTCTCCCCCCGCCCCCAACCCTTGAGATTCTTGATCACACAGCCTCTTTTCAACTGCTAAAAGCATCAGAGATTGGCATGACCAGACTGGAGAGAGAGAGCACAGGGGTGGATCTTGGTTCAATCCCTGGCATCGCGTATGGTTCCCTAAGCACTGCTAGGAAGGATCCCTGCGCACAGAGCCAAGAGTAATCCATGAGCACCGCACCACTGGTGTGCTCCCCCTCAACCCCCCCTCCAAGAAAAGGGCAACTTGAAAGTTCATTCCAGTTACAATAAAAATTAAATCTGGCTCAGAGGTCAGCGGAAACTTAGTTCACTGGAGTTTGCTTTTAAAACCTTTGTACACAACGTTCCCAGCGCAGAATTCAGAGGCCTGTAATCATACAAAGAGTGAACCTGTGGAGCCAGTATCCCTTTAATAGGCTTCCTAGAGGAAGAATGTTTGTCCCGCCCGCTGACTTGCCTTTCAGCTAAAGTTGACCATCTGACCTTTGGATCAACTGGTTTATTTGGCCCCGTGTGGCCAGGTTACATGGCCCCTTCTACTCCCAAGGTTCCTGTGGCCTTCCCAGGGACAGCAGCGTGTAACCCGGTGCAGCCCTGTCCAAGCAGAAGGCAAAAAGCCAATTACAGACAACAAAAGTACTTTGGGAGACTGATTTGATTTGTGACCTGGTGGGGGGGGCAGAGAAACTGAACCCCAACAGGAAAGGAATGAACTCTCTGGGGCTGGCCTCGGTCTCTGCTGCCAGTGGAAGAGAACCCAGAGACTGTGCAAAGGATGAGAGTCAGCCAAGAAGAATCAGAACCTGCCCCGCGTCATGGTCAGTTATTTGAAGGAGAGGAAGGACCCGGGGAATGAGGGTGATGAAGAAAAAGATTCCTCAGATACAAGATTTGGGGGTCCAGTGGGGAGAATCTCTCCTTGACCCATAAGCCTAAGAGTGAGGAAGAACGAATGAATGCTAAGGGATCCCGGAATTGGCACAAAAATCAGCACCCCTCTGCCTTCAGGGCCCCCATAACCTGTCCCAGCCCCAGCAAGTCTCTCCCTGCGTGACCCCAGAGCAGAGCAGAGGGTCTGAGTTTTGCCACTGCCCCAGATTCTGCGCTCCAGGTGGAGAAGGGCCTCAAGAAGGTGAAGGGATGAGCTAATCTGAGCTCCCTGGCCCCGTTTCCAAGGATGTGATTAGTGGAGGAGCACCGGGGACCTGTTCCATTTCAGGAAACCCGGTTATGGGAGCTGGTGGCGGGGACAGACTTGGCTCGGGAACCCAGGAGAAGCAGTTAACCCTTTTCTCTTGCTGGCAGGGGAACAGCTTTTCTGAACAGGTGTCGAGGAGGAGTTGGGGGATGGGCAGGTGCGCCCCGGATGGGTTGAGTCTGGTTGGAGAGGGAAAACCTGAGTGATACTTTCCAGTCACGTTCCCAGGGCCTGTTTGCCTCTCCAGGGCTCTCGCCAGGGGAGCCTGAGAACAAGGTCGGGTCTAAGAAGAGTCTAGGAATGATGTTTTACCAGGCCGACACATTCAAAAGGGACATTGCGCAAACATTCCTGAAACGTTGCTACTCCATGTCCGCTTCCACTCGGCCCTGGTGTGTGGGTCAGAAGCAGCGGGGTGCTCTTCCGGGGGCATCTCTTCTGGACCTGAAGGGACTCTTCCACAGAGGACAGGAGCACCAGCCTCTGAGGGGGGCGAGGGAAGGCATGCCGGTCAATAGGCCACTGAGGAGATGGTCTGAGGACTCTGGCCCAGAAGTCACCACTGATAAGACCCTGGGCCCCAGGGCTGGAAAGATGCAGAGGAGCCTCCACAGGCACCTTGGCCTGGGTGACAAAAGTGACCCTCAGCTTGGTTTTTGTCACTTCCTCTCTTCAGATCTCAGGTGGCGTCCTCTGTTCGAGGTCATCCATAACCTCAACAGTCCGCTGCAATTCTACCCTTTGATATGGCTCTGAAGATGGGAGTCTGAGTAGAACACTGTTAGGATATTTTGGCGGTTCCCTGTGGAGTTAAGAGACCCCCCGCGGGGTGGGGGCACACACTGACAGCAGGGAGTGCCGGCTCGTCTAAGTTAAAGTCTCGGTGTGTGGGAGATGAGGGTATCTGAGTTCTATGCTTCTGTTCTCACACCACAGAACTCCAAGATGCCAGCACACAAAGCTGGATGAGGGATGGAACGGGGGAGCCGCAGGGGAGTGGAATGAGAAGTTAAGTGATTTTTGTTTCAGGGTTTTGGGAAAATGGCTTCAAGAGCTGGAGCACATGTCTTGAATCTGTGAAGCCCTGAGTTTTTCTCGTTTGCTTTTTGTTTTGGACCACACCTGATAGTGCTCAGGGCTTACTCTGGGCCCTGCACTCAGGGATAACTCCTGGCAAGCTCAGGGGCACATATGCAGTGCCAGGGCTCAAATCTGTGTCTTTCGTATTCAAGGCAAGCACCCCAACTGCTGTATTATTGCTCTGGCCGAGTCCCCAAGTTCTATTCCCTGAGCACGACCTGGTGTGGCCCTGGTGACCCCATGATCATGCTGGGCCTGAGCTTTGAACTATCCAGCCGGGTTGACTGAGTACTGCTGGGTATGGCCCTGGGAACCCCTGAGCACTGCTTGGGAGCCCTCACCTCTGCATGAAGCTTTTTGGTTATAGATCGTGACAAACCAATGATTGTACAACCTCTTCTTGGGACCTCCTCTTGATTATTTATAAAACAATGCTAACAATGCTTCACATTCAGAGGAGGAGGGGGCTCAGATGAAAAGGTGGAGACCATTTCCACCTCGTGGATATGTACATATCCGAGCAGACGGCGGAGTATACAGTGATGATCACAGATGCCAAGCCTGCATCAACCCTGTCTTCCCCAGGGGGCACCCTCGGGAAGGCCTGATGTCAGGCTCCCTGACAAAGCTCCTGCCTCCCTTCTCCATCCATCCCTTAGGGATGCTGGTGGTGCCCTGAGCTCCCTTGCCTCGAATTGGAGGCGGGGTTTTTCCTTGCATCTTCTTCATCCTTAAGGTTCATCCCAAGGACAAGGGCTGGCAGCCAGGGTGACCAGCTTAGCTACAGTGCTTCCACTCTGGCAACCTTCCTCCACCCTGTTTCCCAATGCCATTCTCAAGGTGGGGCAGTTTCTGTGGAGCCAGCACGCTCCTTGAGACACAGTTGAAAGAGCATCTCCAAACCTGGGTGTCTCTCCATCAAATAGGGAAGATAACAACGACCTCACAAGACGCCGGGGGGGGGGGGGGGGGAGGGGGATGAACACAACCGAGGCCAAGAGTTCAGCTCCCTGACCGCACGCATGCACTCATTAAAGGCTTGGACAAGCCTGTGGAAACTCCGCTAAAGGGAACCCCTGAGAAAGAGAATGAAAGGAGATCAAGTCCCAAGGATGCATCAAAGGCCAGCTCTCTTAGGAGGTTTGAGGTGGTATTATGTTGAGTTTTCCAGAAAGCAGAGCCACTTCTCCAACAGTCCTTTCTACCAGCACCAGGATGGGCAGTGCGGTCAGCAGAAACTGGCAGGAACCACAGACAGAGGCTTTGAGTCAAGCCTCCGTGGATGTATCCTTTGGAGTGGCTTCCAGGCTGGGTCCTGGTCAGGCACCCAGCCAGCTCTCTGGCTGATTGTCCAACCCTGGTTTCTTGAAGCCAGGGCGGAAGAATTTTGCCTGAAGGATCACAGCCAACACCCTGTCCCACCTTTCTCCTTGGGCAACTCTTTGCCAGGCAAGGAATTTCTTTCATCAGTTTCCTTTTTGTCGGCTGCTGGAGGAGCAAATTGCCTGATCATCAGTTTGGGTTCACGCTGTTCTCACCAGCTGCTCCCCAGCCATCCTGGGGCCCACATCTGGAGTCTGGCTGCCTACCTTTCCTCCAGCTGGGAGCGCACTTGAAAACCCCCAGAGCTGCTGCCTGCTGGGACCGGTGAAAGCAACTCCTACCCAGGGTTCTCAGATGTGGGGAGGGCCCATTTCCAGGTCCTGTCTGCATGGCTGGGGCTCTGGAATTAGGCTGGGAACGTAGTCGGGACAGGTGCCATAAAAAATATAGGACACCCAGTTTTAAATTTCAGATGAATGGAATCGGTTGTCGGAATCTGTCCTAAATACTGCGCAGGATATGCATATGCTTTTGAAAGATCACTTCTTTTTTGGCCACACCCGGTGGTGCTCCGGGTTACTGCTGGCTCTGCACTTAGAGAACATTCCTGGCAAGTGCTCAGGGACCATATGGGATGCTGAGGATCAAACCTGCGAGGCAAGCGCCTTACCGGTTCTGCTATATCTTCGGCCCCCCCCCTCCCCTCCACCTGCACCCCCCAATTCGCTCTTTCCGCTGGAATTCAAGTTTAACTGCCCATCCTGCCTTTGGATCTGCTAAACCTGGGAACCAGAGGTTGCCCTGGGGCACTCGGGGCAGCCGGCTCGGGCAGCCGGGTCCCCGGCGCCAGCAGTTTCTCCGGCACGAGGGAGAGCGGTTTGCAAAGGGCTAAGGACAGCTCCTCGGCGGGACCGTGGGAACGCGCCTGGGAGGGAGGCGGAGTCGTGGCGGGGTCGTGTTCCGGCTCGCCCGGGGCCAGCGCCCCGGCTCTCCCCACACCCGGGCCCGCCCCACCGCCCACCTGCACGCGGCGCCTTCACACCGCTCGCCAGGCCCGGGCGGGGCGGCCGCGGAGTGCGCAGGCGCGGTCGCGGGGGGCGGGGCTGGGGGCGGGGCGGCCGCCCGGGCGGGAAGCGGAGCCCGGAGGCGGCGGGTGCGCGCGCGGGCGGACGGCGAAGCCCTGAGGGCCGCGAGGTGACCGGGCGTCGTCGCTGCCCGCCGCGAGCCATGGAGGGCACGGCCATGGCTGTGTGCCAGGTGATGGCGGACAGGGAGGGACTCACAGAGGGGCACCGCGAGGAGCTGGGCTTGGGGGTGGGAGGGAGACCGCGAAGTCTGGGTCCCAGGGCCTTTGGCGCGGCCTGAGGTGGAGAAAGAAGGTTCGGGAAGAAGAAGATGGAGGGACCGACCGTTCGCCTGCCTGAGGGACAGCCCGTGAGGAGACGAGCCGGTGGGGCGCCCTGGGCGGAGAAGCCCCTCGGGGGCCCAATGTGAGAAGCCCCGGGGGGCAGCCGGGCTCAGGCCGCCTCAGAGTTGACCGAGGCTCGAGAATACCCCGCTTGGCGGGCACACCGGAAGGGGCAACGGGCAACAGCCGGCCGAGGGCGTTGGTCCCTAACGGATGGGGGCAGAATGTGGAGTCAGGTCTGGGGGAGTTACAGCCCACCCCCCCCCCCCTCAGCGCACCCCGGGCCACCTTAGATACCCCCGCGCGGGAAGGTGACGCAGGTGTCCCTCGCTGCCATCTTCTCGTGGAGGAGGAGCTGCTGGGGGTCCCGGCCAGAGCAGGCGTGACCCCAGGCCACCCGGGAACACCTGAGGGTCCTCTCCCCCCAGGCTCCCCGGCTCTCCGGCTTCTCTGTGGTCATCGGGAAAGTGGCGGGCTCGATCTGACAGGTGACCAGAGCGCAAAGAGGACCCAGAGCTCTGACTCACAGGCCCGTGATCTGGTCTCGGCTGCTCCCTCCTTGTGGAGAAAAGAGCTGAGGGGATTGGACCTCATCCCAAGGTCAAGCTGGGCAGTTGGGATGCGCGAATGAGCATGTTAGGTGGGAGAAGTGTCTGTAAATCGTCCTCATAAGCCCTGGTCACATTAGAATCTCCCCCTCGCCCCCCCCCCCCCCTTACTGAGATCTCACTGACTCAAAAAAAAAAAAAAGGAAGATGGACCAAGTGATAGAAGTGATAGTACAGAGGGTGGTGCGACCTGGGTTCCACCTCCAGCACCACATATGGACCCCAATTCCCCATCACGCCAGAAGTCGTCCCTGAGCACAGAGCCAGCCAGTAAGGCCTGAGCACTGGGTGTGGCCCCCAAACAACAAAAGTCAAATACATATACAGTATTGGTGCTGAGTGATAGCCAGTGTCTACTAAGCATTTACTGTTATAAGCCTGGCCCTGTGTTAAGAATTTTCCAACAATATTTGTTCCATTCATCTGTGGCCAAGTGTCCTATGTTGTAGATTTGTCCTCAGTTTTCATACACCAGGAAGCTGAGATCCAGGGAGGTTGAGGAATTGGCCCCCAAAATGTTTGCTGGACTTTGTCTTGTCAGTTACTCAGATCCAGGCACCTATCTGCTTCTAGACAGTGCTCTTAACTCTGAACCTAAGAAATGTTGCTCCTATGAAAGGGGCTGGGGTGTTAGTACAGTGGGCAGGGCGTTTTGCCTTGCAGCAGATTCCTGTTCTATCCCTGGCATCCCATATGGTCCCCTGAGCACTGTCTGAGTGCGGAGCCAGGAGTAACGCCTGAGCATCGCTGGGTGTAACCTCCTCCCCAAAAAAGAAAAGCAGAAAAAAAAAGAAAGGTAAATATGATTCATAGCCAGGTCCCATTCTTAGTCATAATCTTCTTGTTGACTTTTATTTGGGAGAGCGAAAAAAGAAACAAGAAAAACAAACTCCCACTTGATATTTCCAAATTATTATTTCTAGATGAACTTACCCTTTGAATAAAGCAATTCTTTGTCTCTATTTCCACTCTTCTGGGGCATTGCCTTGAATTTCATTGACTTCTCTTGTGTGTCACTCCCAGTTGTTCGATTTAGACTTAGTGCTTTGTTCTCAGCAAATGTAAATTTGACATTTTACAAGCAAGAATGTCTCTTTTTTTGAAACTTGAATTATTGATTTCACTATACTAAAAAATTTATTATTACCATGATTTCTAAAGAAGATTTTGTTTTCTTTGAATTATGCCCTTTTCAGATTTTGAAATATTTAATCATTCACTGGAAGTATGAAACAGCAAGAGTATCAAAGGGAGCCTTGCTGGAAAGACAGCTAGTGATTTCCATAAAAGCATTAAATTCTAAGCACCAGACAAATACTCTTCACTGTGTAACAACGAGTAAGTGAAGGAAAAATGATTCCCTATCTTTGTTTTATCATAATTTGTTATAGCTTATTTAAAATTTTCATTTGTTTATGATCTTTATCATGTTCTCCAGGGTTCTAAAGTTTAAAAGCTTATATGATGATGTAATAAGCAACTGGTAATTGATTTACTAATGTGTCATACGGGAAAGGTGGGTAGAATGATGATTACAGATTCTTTTACTAGCTTAATTCAATATTTCTCAGAAACAATCTCACTCTTGCTCTTAAGTTTTAACATTCTCTTTCACAGCAAAATTATATTAAACTGAAGTTTACTTCCTTTTATATTTAGACTCTGGTAGTTGGAAATGAGCCAAAAATAAAAAAAAAGGAAAGATAAATGATGAATGTGATAACCTTAACTTGCAGTTTGAAAAAATGTATGTCCCATCTGCTCTTGATCACTTTGCCAGTATAATTGTGGGAAAGCTGATTCATTCAGTGGCTTTCAAACAGCTACTTTTCTTTAAAAATATTTAAGAAATTTCCCCTTTTTCCTTAATTATTAGTCTTTGTGATTAGGGGCACACTTGATTTGTGAGGCTTGCACCATTGTTTTATTCTCAGATTTTTTAGTTGTGGTGCTTGAGTATACTTGATTATGGTGTGCTAAGAATCCTAAAAGACAGAGTCTCTGGGATTTTTCTTGGGCTTGTGGGGTGGTGCCAGTGCATGGCTTTATTGGCCTCCTGCTTGCCAGATAGGCATTCTACCACTAAGCATTGGTTTCCTACAGTTTCTTTTCTTGAACTTCTATAGTGATAACTTTTTTGTTTGGGTATTTGGTGTGTGTCTGTGTGTGTCTATGTGTGTGTGTATCTCTGTGTGTATATTTTTTAAACCTTGAAATAAAGTCCCATACACCTTACCGGAGTCGCCAGGGGTGGCCCTGGTTGAGAATGGGTAGTGTATTAGATACAACCAGACATTTCCTCACCTGAACTGGACTGACCCATCTTCTCTGGTAGTAAATATCCTCACATGTTAGCTTGGTTTGCTGTTACTCTGCACAAACTCAATTGTGAGAGGACAGAGTTCCTGCCAGTCATGATCTGAGTGGCTTGGGTGATGATGGTCTGTACATGGTTTTGTTAGTTTGTGCATTATCCCAATCCACTCAACTGTGGCTAGGGTAATAGGATTGATTTCACTCGAAGCAGAAGAATTAAGCCTCAATAAATTTTGGTTAGAAATTGATTCTGTACGCATTTTCAGCCTGAGGTGAGGGCCATGTTATTTTAGTTGCAGTGCTTGCTTATGCAGTTACTGAGGGTTACATTCCTTAGTTGTGGTACTTATATACATTCTGGTTGCATACTTACTGGGGTTTGATGTGGTGCTCACACAGATATGCTTGCCAGGTATCATGTTCCTGACTGTAGCATTCACACATATTTTTGAGTTCTGGTGTTTGCCAGAGTTGCACCCTTTAGTTGCAGTGCTTGCACATATTTGGCTGGAAATCATTCTCAGAATTTCAGTCATCAGAGCTGCCAACCTTGCACTTTGCACATGTAGAGGCACCGGGAATCAAAATCAACTTTACACTTACAAAACACATATATTAGCTGCTGAGCCATCTTTTGAACCCCCACCCCCACCAGTCTATCTGTTTTTAATAAACTTTGGTTCTCAGCCAAAGATCCTTGTTTTTATCTTTTTAAACAATGATCTCTTCCACATCCACTATCAATGTTAGGGAGGGCCAGTCTCTCGAAGGCTGAGTGGAGGAAGACTGATTTCTTAAGATCCAACTACTACTTTAATTTCCTTTTTTTCAACCTATGTCTCACTTTAGCTCTCATGTTATCTCTTCTTCTAGAGGCTCCCTTATTCCCGAGTCTTTTTTTTTAAGGGGGTCTAAGCCTTCCCTGCTTCTGACTTATAACTAAATTTCTAAACCCTTTCCTGTTAGTACTAGTTTTTATTTTCTAGACTCGGGTTTGATTCCTCCGGCTCTCTTGGAGAGCCCGGCAAGCTACCAAGAGTATTCCACCCTCATGGCAGAGCCTGGCAAGCTCCCTGTGGCATATGCTAAAAACAGTAACAACAAGTCTCACAGTGGAGATGTTACTGGTGCCTGCTCGAGCAAATTGTTGAACAGGAGGACAGTGCCGTGCTACAGCATTTCCTTATAAATGTTTCTTGATTCCTCCCAAAAAGTGCTCATGGGGCCCTAGAGCCCTTACTGGTGATACTCTGTGCCCAGTGGTTCAGTATGTGGTCCTGTCCATGTGATGTTGCTGGTCATGTTACTGGGGCCACTGGAGTTACTTCTGCTGTGTTTGGGAATCTGTAGGGAGTGAGCTCAGTTTTTCAACACTTCGAATTACTCCCCAAATCTTATATGATCATGTCTAATTCTTGTCCATTTCTTTTCTATTTTTTTTTAATCCCTTTTCTACGGGCTGGAGCGATTGCACAGCGGTAGGGCGTTTGCCTTGTGCGCAGCGACCTTGGCTGAGCCAGGTTCGATTCCTCCGCCCCTCTCAGAGAGTCTGGCAAGCTACTGAGAGTATTCAGTATGCCAAACACAGTAACAAGAAGTCTCACAATGGAGACGTTACTGGGCCCGCTCGAGCAAATCGATGGACAACGGGAGGACAGCGGACGGTCTCACTGAAATTTCAGGAGGATGTAAAACAGAATTTTATGTTCAGTTTTCCATCCTTACTTGAAAGGGTGGTGGTGTATTTGGTCTGAAATCTCTGATGAGGGCTGGAGAGATATTACAGTGGGTAAGACAAGTGGGTAAGACACTTACCTTACATGTGTGTGACCTAGTTCAATCCCCGAAACCCTTTATGGTCTCCTGAATACTTCCAGAAGAGATCCCTGAGTGCAGAGCCAGGTATAAGCCCTTAGCAATACCGGCTGTGGCCCCCAAACAAAAACTCAAAATAATTACAAATAATCTCTGATGATGAAGAACCAAGCTACTGAGGGCTGCACAAATTGGGTATTTAACAGCATTATACTTTATTATCATATTATGGGTGCCAGAAGTCCAAAATCAAGGCCTTAGTATGGTTAGATCCTTCTGGAAACACTTAGAAAGCAACCATTTTGCATGTTTGTCTCCTACTTCTGGTAGTTAAAACTGGTTCTTGGTTCTTGGTTTGTAGATGTTAATTCTCCAATCTTTACCTCTGTCTTCATGTATTATACTTCTCTGTGTTTTTATATGCTTTTCTACATGATCTTATAAGTATACTGGATGGATTTGCTGACAAATATGACTTCATCTTAACTTGATAACATCTGGAAAGAACATATTTCCAGAAATAGATCTGGAGTGATAGCACAGAAGGTAGGGTGCTTGCCTTGCACACAACTGTCCTGGGTTTGATCTTGGGCATACCATATAGTCCCTTGAACCTCCCAGGTGTGTTTTCTGAATGCAGAGCCAGGAGTAAACCCTGAGCACAGCTGGGTGTGGCCCAGAAGCCAAACCATACAAAACAAAACCAGATATAGACATAGGCACAAGCAATAGTGATTAATTCTTTAAAATAGCTTTTCGGAGGACAAAAGACAGCTATCAGCAAACTAGCAAGTAGTTTTATTACTGAAATAATTTGTGAGAACCTGAGTGGTCGCTATTTAGTTTTTTTCCCCCCTATCGGTAATTCTTGAAAATTTTAACAAATATTTATTGTGTTGTTTCTTAAAATAAGGCTATAGGACGATTATTTAAATTATGAGAGGATTTTTGTAGTGATCTAAATTTGGGAAATGCTGGTTAGGAGAATCAAATAGATTTTACTATTTTAGATCTTTGGAGGGCTGGAGTGATAGCACAGCGGGTGAGGCGTTTGCCTTGCACGCGGCCGTCCGACCCGGTTTCAATTCCTTCGCTCTTCTCTGAGAGCCCAGCAAGCTACTGAGAGTATCTCGCCCACACGACAAAGCCTGGAAAGCTACCCGTGACGTATTCAATATACCAAAAACAGTAACAACAAGTCTCACAATTTGTTGTGAGACGTTACTGGTGCCCGCTCGAGCAAATCGATGAAAAATGGGAAGACATTGCTACAGTGCTATAGATCTTTGGAACCTTTAATATGCCTACATGCGCTGTGAATCTTTTCAAGTGGGGTATGGTTTATAAAATTTCCCAAATATATCTGATCTCAAAGCTCTAGTCTTTCTTTCTTTTTTTTTTTGCCTTTTGGGGTCACACCCAGCAATGCTCAGGGGTCACTCCTGGCTCTGCACTCAGGAATTACTCCTGGCGGTGCTTGGGGGACCATATGGGATGCCGGGGATCGAACCCGGGTCGGCCGCATGCAAGGCAAACGTCCGACCCGCTGTGCTATCGCTCCAGCCCCCTGTCTTTCTTTCTTTCTTTTCTTTCTTTCTTTTTTGTAAAACAAGATAGTTCTTACTGAAACTTATGTAGAAAGATGTGAGGTGAGAGAAAGAGAGAACTGCATTCTTGTGATGTGAGGTGAGAGGTGAGAGATGAGAGAAAGAGAGAAAGATGTGAGGTGAGAGAAAGAGAAAGCTTTTCCAGAGTAGAAATGAACATACAAAGAAGCATAGAGACAAGCAAGTGAGATATTGTTCAAGGGAGAACACAGACTTGAAGAGCAAGCCTCAAAACTATTTTTTAAAAACAATTTCTATAAAGGGAATTTAGGAGAATATTATTTCTTTAAAAATATGTGTCTGTAAAAGTCTCTCTCTACTGTCATCTTAGCAGTAAAAGGAAAATACTTTATTATTTTCTTGTAGACGCATTAGAAGTGTGATAAAAAAATAAATTAGGGTTTGGATTGAGTATGGGGCAGGTAGGATGATTACTCTCCCCGGGCATGTTCTCCAGAAGTGACTTATTTCAACAGTAGTTGATATGATGTTACTAAAACTAAGAATAGATATTAGAGGAAACTCTGACCTATGAAATTGAGAAATGCCAGGGACATATGTGAGACATACAGGTTGTGAATTTTGTTTTTTTCTCGTTAATATCCTAGCTCTTCACTGGCTAGTAATGTAGGCATCTCATCTCAGTGACTAAATTCATTGAAGCCTGTGGAAGAACAGTAGGAAAAAATGTTGATTATCTTTTATTTAGTGTTCTATACTATTTGGGCTCAGGCCTTTTCAGCTAGGTATATTTGCTCAGAATTACTCAAACTCTGGAGATCTAGAGAGATGGTTTTCAACATGGACCAGTGCCAGCCTGTAGACATAAAAATGTTGAAAACAACTTATCTAGAGCATTACTGTCTGATAGAATTAATTTTTTTGTTTGTTTTTGTTTTGAGGCCACACAAGGTGATACCCAGGTATTACTCCTGACTCTGCACACAGGTCTCAAGGCTATGAATTCCTAAAGCTGTTGTCTTTCCATGAAGCTCTATTTTTTTTTCCTTCTTTTTGGGTCACACACGGCGGGTGCTCAGGCGTTACTCCTAGCTTTGCCCTCAGGAATTACTCCTGGTGGTGCTCAGGGGACAATATGGGATGCTGGGATTCGAACCCGGGTCAGCCACTTGCGAAGCAAACGCCCTACCCACTGTGCTATCACTCCAGCCCCTGAAGTTCTGTTTTGTTCCTTCAAATATGAATGATAATCTAGCTGGCTAGAGGATTCTTGCTGAGGTGTTCATTCCATTGAGTTTTTATACTACCACCCTCCATACTCTTCTGGCTCTTATAAGTTTCATTTGATTGATCTGCTATACTTACAGCTTTCCTGTGTAAATTTCTTTTTTAATCTCGTTGCTTTCAGTATTCTATCTTTAGTGTTTGTCATTTTGAGTACAGTGTGTCTTGAAGTTTCCCTAGTTGAGTTTATTTTTCTGGGTCTCTTTTCTGGGATCTCAGTAGCTTTATAATCCTCAACTCTGCAAAATCCTTATAGATGGTTTCTTTAACAATTATTTATTGTTAAAGAACAATTTGCCTTTCTGTTCAAGGACTCCACTGATTTCTATATTATACTTCTTAAACTCATTCAATAATCCCTTGGTATGCTGCTCATTTTCTTTCTTTTTTTTCCAGACAACTTCTTACTTTCTGCAGTTTTTTTTCCAGTTTCCTCTTTATCTTAGAACTCCTTAATCTTGGGACTGGAGCGATAGCACACGGCTGACCCCTTGCACGTGGCCAACCCGGGTTTGATTCCCAGCATCCCATATGGTCCCCTGAGCACTGCCAGGGGTAATTCCTGAGTGCAAAGCAAGGAGTAACCCCTGAGCATTGCTGAGTGTGACCCCCCCCCAAAAAAAGCAGAACTCCTTAATCTTTTATTCAGCTTTTGTTATTCTGCTGCTCAGAGCTTCTATTGAGTTTTGTTTGTTTTTGGGCTCAGGGGTTACTCTTGGCTCTGCACTCAGGAATCACTTCTGGTGGACTCAGTGGATCATATGGGGTGTCAGGGATTGAACCCAGGTTTGTCACATGCAAGGCAAACACCTGACCCACTGTGCTACTGCTCTGGCCCTGTCATTTCTGATTGTAGTAGGTTTTTCATTTTGACTCTGTGCTTTGCCTGACTACCTGTGCTATCATTTCTTTGAACTTGTGGAACATCTTCATTATGGAGTTATTAAAGACATTGTCTGAAGATTTACTGGTGTTGTTTATGTATTTGGTGATATTGTTTTTGCTCATTGAGTTGGGTGGGCTTCTAGGGTTTTTTACATTGCTTTTCTTGTGTTCTTGCTGTGCTACTGGGTGAGTCTGTAGTTAGATTTCTTGTGAAATGCTGAGGGTTTAGGCTGGGGTTACTTTCTTCTCTGCTGTCTTCACCAAATGACAGGAAGAATAACTGAGCAGCGTGTAAACTTTTGAGTGGATCCACACACTTCAGGAGCTGTGGTGTGGGTCCATTTGTGTGACAGGCTGGTGTGGAGGCTGTTGGATTCTAGTGATAGGGAGGAACTCTGCCTCCTGTTTTGGATTAGGCCCAGGGATGTCAGCAGAGGCAAGTTAACCCAGAATGGCCGAATAGCAAGCAGCAAGGTCCTCCTTAGTGATTCTTACATAACCTTTTTTCCTTGAAGAATACACATTTCTTGAGAAAAAGAAACATTTCCATCGATTTCAATGATAGTTATTTGAGTTGGAGGGTTGGGTTTAGAGTTCAAACTCACACATGCAAGGCAGTTGCTCTGCCAATGAGCTATATCCCCAGTTCATATTCTCAGATTTCATTTTTTTTAGGGGGGAGAGCTGGGAAGTCACAACTGGCAGAACTCAGGGGCTACTCCTGGCTTGGTGCTTGGAGGTTGCTTCCCCAAAATGCAGAGGACGGGGGTTATGATGTGATGCTGGGGGTTGAACTTGGTTCTCTCAAATGCAAAGCATGTGCTCTAGCTCTTTGAGTTATTTCCTCAGTCATCCCCATGCCATTGTTAGATTCTTTTTTTTTTCTTTTTGGGTCACACCCGGCAATGCACAGGGGTTACTCCTGGTTCTGTGCTCAGGAATTACCCCTGGTGGTGCTCAGGGGACCATATGGGATGCTGGGAATCGAACCCGGGTCGGCTGTGTGCAAGGCAAACGCCCTACCCGCTGTGCTATTACTCCAGCCCCCATTGTTAGATTCTTAACAGTGGGTGGGGTCACATCTGTCTAAAGGAGGGCATGTTCAATTTGGAAAAAAAAAAGCCTCCAGATATTCAGATCTTCTTTTTTCCTTTTTGGGTACCTACTTCCTCCCTCATCCTCTTCCTTTGAAGAATTGCTGCTCTACTTGTTCTGATGTTTGCATTTAGAACTGTTGAGTGCAGAGATTTTTGTTTGTTTGAGTTTGCTTTTGAACCACACCTGTAACTGCTCAGGGCTCACACCAGGCTCTTTGTTGAGGGATCACTCCTGGTGGGGCTCTGAAGACCTTATACAGTGTTGGGATTGAACCCTGATTGGCTGCATGCAAGTCAAACATTCTGTCCTTTATACTATTTCTCAGGCCCTGAGTGCAGAGAGCTTTTGCTTGATAGACCATAATGTGTTTTCACTAATGAGTGAATTGGTTAAGAGGTCCAACTACTTCTTTGTTTTTTGGGCTACATCTGATGGTGCTCAAGGCTCATTCTGGTGGCACTTGGGGAACTATATGTAGTACTGGGATTTAACCCAACTTGGCCACATGCGAGGCAGTGCACTGCCCAATGTACTAACTATCCCTCCAACTTGTGCACCAGCATTTTTAACTGGATCTTAAACTGAAACGTGGGTGATTATATTCTGATTTCTTTCTTTCTTTCTTTCTTTCTTTCTTTCTTTCTTTCTTTCTTTCTTTTCTTTCTTTCTCTCTTTTTTTTGTTTCTTTTTTGAATCACTGTGAGATACAGTTATGAAACTTTCATGTTTGAGTTACAGACATACAGTGATCAAACACGCATCCCTTCACCAGTGCACATTTTTTGCCACCAAAATCCCCAGTATCCCCCCTCATCCCAACCATCCCCCTGCCTGTGTGGCACACAATTTCCATAATACTCTCTACTTTGGTTACATTCAATATCAACACCAGTTCCACCATTATTATTTGGAATTTTTCTGCTACCACTCAAACCTGCTGAAAAAGCAATGCTAGACAATTTATTTTGTATTGATGTTTATGAATAGCATAAGATGTTGTGTGGCCATAAGAGCCACGTAAGAGCTCTTGGAATTCTAAAATTTTAGATAATTAGGACCTGGAGAGATCTCTGCAGTGAGCTACTCGGTTCTGAGATTCTTTTGTGTGTCTCTGAAACACTGCATTAAGGAGCTTGAGTAGTAGCCAGAAGCAGTTTATGGGCGTCATCTCAAGGTCCCATGGGGTGAGGGATGAGCAGGGCTGGCCCATCCCCTATCCCGTGAGGCCTGGTGTTTGCCGCTACTGCTCTTGTGTACCTGGGCTTCTCATTGAGTTCTGAAAGACGGCGACTGCTGGGATTCCTAGGGGGCAGGCGGAGGGACAGCACCTGCTCCAGTCTGGAGTAACCCATTGAAATCTATCTATTGCAAAGTCCCAAGGCATCTCTGCAGCGAGCTGCTCACTTCCGAGATTCTTTTGTGTGTGTCTGTATTCTGATTTCTACCTACAACTAAACGGCTTCCTGTAAGCCTTTTCTATCTGGGTAGAATATAAGTGAAAACACTTGTTATATGGTTTTCTTTGAGAATTAATTCTGCTTTGTAATAGTAAGCAATGTTTCACTATTCTTTGCCTCCATTTTTACTTATAGTGTTCCCCCTTTAAAAGTTGTATATCTGTAAGCAGTGCTCCGTAATCCCATTTGATTCTTTAAATTAATGTTTTCTGAAGTGCCCCCCCACCTTCCCATGTAGGGGACAGCAGTCTCTTTATGTACAATTAGGAAATGCTTTCTCTTTGTTCATTTAAGGAAGGTAGATTCCAGCTAAGTTAGTTTTTTTTTTTAATTTTTCTAAAAAGGGGATGGTTGGCCAAATAAATTTGGGAATCTCTGCTTTAAATCAAATCAATTTAATTGTTTTATTTTTGATATTCATATATTATGTTTCTTACAGTTGCTTCTGCAGGAAATATTTATGGAGGGTTGATTCTCAAGAAGCTCCTGAAAGGTAAAGAATTACTCATTTTCCACAAGACTCTGTTCCTGTCAGTGAATTTGCTATTTTTTTTGGCGGGGATGGGGTACTCCCAAGTAGAGCTCAGGGGGACAGCTGGGCTGTTTGGTTTAATGCTAGGGTCCAGTAATGCCAGGGGCCACCATAGTCATTTGGTGGTGCTCAGGAAGGCCAGCTGGTGCTAGGGATTGAACTGGGATCCTACGTGTGCCACTATCTCTTTGGTCTGAATTTGGGGATTTTGTTTGTTTTTTCTGACATCCCCTGAGCACCACCAGGAGTGATCCCTGAGCAGAACAAGGGGTGATCCTTGAGCACTGCCAGGTGTGGCCCAAGAAACAAAACAAAACCAAATCCAAAGTAGCTAATGTTATCTGTAGATGGATGAGGTCACAAGAATATAAGCCTTTTTTTTTCTTAGTTTCAAACATTTTATTACTATACTTTGGATCATAGAGGCCACCCCAAAAGCCTCCATCCCTCTTGGAGAGCCCAGCAAGCTACTGAGAGTATCCCACCTGCACAGCAGAGCCTAGATAGCTACCCGTGGCGTATTCGATATGCCAAAAACAGTAACAATAATGGGCCTCATTCCCTGACCCTGAAAGAGCCCCCAGTATGCCATTGGGCTACTAGCACGGGACTGGGACAAATGGAGTTGTTACTGGTGCCTGCTCGAGTAAATCCGATGATCAAAGGGATGGCAAGTGACAACTGACAAGTGTTTGTTTTTTTGTATGTCTTTTTTGGGGGGTGCACATCCAGCGATGCTCAGGGGTTACATCTGACTCTGTGTTTAGGAATTACTCCTGAGGTATTCAGGGGACTGTATGGGATGCCAGGGATTGAACTCAGGTCAGGAATGCTCTACCTACCGTACTGTAAAACCTCTGAATTTGGTATTTCTTAAAAAAGACTTACAGTGAATGATAGGATTACCAGATTTAGCAAATAAATAAAGGATGCTCATTTACACTGAAGATCAGGTAAGTCATTACTAGTTTTAAATAAAAGTATGCACTGTCATGGCGTATGGTACTGCTAGCAGGTTAATCTGTACCTGTGAGGCGAGTGCATCAGCAGCCTGATGGTGCCTTTAGACTTCTAGATATCCCAAAATTGTTGCTGTGCCTTTGACCAGACCCCAACAACTTGGGGCCAAGTTTACTAAGAAAGTAAATGGCCAAAAGTTAGATATGTGGGAGACACACCCACAAACCACCTCTGGCTCAGGTGTATAATTGGAGGTAAGGCCTCTCTGGTTCCTGATCAAACTGCTTAATGGCCATGATCCCAGAGACTCAGTAACAAATATTGGAACCCGGCGGCTTTTGGCAGAAATGCGTCTGGTCCCTGCAGTAGGTTACCAGTGCCGGACCACCCCAGGGGGGAAAGGGTGTTGTCCCTCCACCTGCTCCCCCCTTGGTGGCTCGGTGGCCGCCATCCTCCAGAGGCCATTGGACAATCAGGTTTGGGCCCGCAGTGATGAGACATGCGAGGCCTCATGGGATGGGGGTGGAGCTGGCCCTTTCCTCCCCACCCCAACGAGACCCAGAGTCGCCACCCACGAACGGCCTCTCTGGCTCCCGATCAAGCTGCTTAACGGCCATGATCCCAGAGACTCAGGAACAAATCTCGGAACCCAGCACATTTTCGCAGAAATTCCTCCAGATTTAATTGTTAAAATTTCAGAATTCCAAAATCGCACAGCCACTACTGCAGCCGTGCGACATCATATGTTATTTATAACCAACAATAGATTTGTTCTAAAACAAATTGTCCATGGTTGCCTTTTCGGCAGATCTGAGTGCGTGTGGGGTAAAATCTCAAATAATAATGGTGGGTCTGGTGTCAAAATATTGAACGTAATCAAATTAGAGAGAGAGGGAGTAATGTGGAAATCTTCTGCCTCACAGGTAGGGGGAGAATGTGGGATGGGGGGTATACTGGGGTTTTTGGTGGTGGAGAATGGGCACTGGTGAAGGGACAGGTGTTTCATCATTGTATGACTGAGACTTAAACCCGAAAGTTTTGTAACTGCTCTCACGGTGATTCAATAAATAAATCTATAAAACTGTTCTCGTGTTGTTCATTGATTTGCTCGAGCAGGTCCGGTAATATCTCCATTTTGAGACTTGTTGTTACTGTGTTTGGCATATTGAATATACTCTCGGTAGCTTGCCGGGCTCTCCGAGAGGGGCGGAGGAATCAAACCCAGCTCGGCTGGGCTGGCTGCGTGCAAGGCAAATGCCCTACCGCTGTGCTATCACTCCAGCCCAAATTTATAAAAAAGAAAAAAAAAAGTATGCACTGTCCTGTAGCACTGTCCTCCCTTCATCGATTTGTTTGAGCGGGCACAAATAAAAGTATGTATTATATAATATTTTTACCTTCTATTTTACCTGGCAATCCTACACAGACCTACGAATTCATACACACACAGGATAAAGATACCAAGATCATTGTAGTTTTTCTCAATACTTTGTATTATCTCAGGCAAGTTTTTCCCAGCAAAGAAAGTTTTTACAGATTGTTCTCATTTACCTCAAAGAATGTATGGCAAGTGACTTTTACTGTAAATGGTTTTAGGAAGTATTAATAGCTGCTTTGCTCATTATATGCCAAAGTTGCTACAATTTAGAAACTTTAGTTTTTCTTTCCTTGACTTGAGAATATGGGTTCTTACCTGCTACCTGAAATTATACTGTTCCGATTTAGTATAACTTGGTTGATTAATTTTGGAGGTCTGAGAAAAAATTTCTCCTTAATTTATTTTACCGTGAATTAATGGTAATGGTCTTCTATGACCACCGACGCCTGCCAAATAACCTACCAAATTATACCTGATAGAGTAGTTTACTTTTGACTAGCTTGTGGGACCTGTAGACTTAAGTTAAAATTCATACATTTCCTGTTTGTTTGTTTTTGGGCCACACCCAGCTGTGCTCAGGGCTTACATCTGGCTCTGCATTCAGGGGTCACTTCCAGTGGGGCTCTCGGGACCTGATGCTGTTTTGGGGAATTTTTAAGAGTCATACATTTTTTGGTTTGTTTTGAGCCATACCATGTGTTTTGGAGTTATTCCCTGCTAAGTTGCTAAGTGCTTGTGGGTTGCTCCCATGAATGCCTTGGGAGCCATGTGGTGCTGGGGATCAAACCTAGGGCCTACCATGCAAAATAAGCACTGTGAATGTGCCTTCAGCCCTCACAAGTCTCTGTCTGTCTGTCTCTGTCTCATGCACATGCGCATGTGTGTGCATGCACCCACACATGAATGTGCACACACACACACACACACAGACACACAATTAACAACTTTTAAAAAGGAAGTTTTCTCAACTAAATCAGAAATATAAGTAACATTTTTCAAAACACATTTTTGCTTTAAGAAAATATGCTCTGGGTGGGGAGATAGCTCTAATGGATTGTAAGGCATGTAGTTTTGCATGAGGGAACCCTAGGTTTAGTTCTTGACTCTTCATGGTCCCTAGAGCACCACAAGAAGTAACCCCATCCCCTCAAGAACAAAAACAAACAAACAAAAAGAAAATATGCTATGTATCAAATATGGTAACAACCAGAAAGCCACATTAGAAAGGTAATATATATATATATGATAAATATAATGACATTTACTATGTCTGTGGAGCGATAGCACAGCGGTAGGGCGTTTGCCTTGCACACAGCCAACATGGTCGACCCGAGTTCGATTCCTCCGCTCCTCTCGGAGAGCCCGGCAAGCTACCGAGAGTATGTCGCCCACATGGCAGAGCCTGGCAAGCTCCCCGTGACGTATTCGATATGCCAAACACAGTAACAACAAAGTCTCCAATGGAGACGTTACTGGGCCCGCTCGAGCAAATCGATGATCAACGGGAGGGCCTTTACCTTACCTTTACTATGTCTATAAAATGTATTACCACTGGACTTTAATTTTTTTAAAATTTTTTAAATTTTTTGCTTTTTGGGTCATACCCGGTGATGCTCAGGGGTTACTCCTGGCTCATGCACTCAGGAATCACTCCTGGCGGTGCTCGGGGGACCATATGGGATGCTGGGAATCAAACCTGTACCACTGGACTTTTAATCACTTAATCACTTAACTTCCCATTAGTCGTCGATTTGCTCGAGCGGGCGCCAGTAACGTCTCCATTTGTCCCTGTCGCGTGCTAGTGTAGCCCAATGGCATCTGTTCGCTCCAGGAACATGAAGGGCCTCAAACCGATCGTTCATGATCTTGACGAAGAAGTCTGACCATCTGGTAGGTGGGCGGCCACGCGGTCTTTTGACATCCCGTGGAATCTAATCAGTAACAGCTCTAGTCCAACGGTCGTCTTTAAATCTCATTACGTGACCAGCCCATCTGATTTTCGACACCTTGGCAAATGAGACAGCGTCCCTGATCCTTGATCGTCGACAGATGTCAGAACTCCGGATTCGTTCTCTCATTTGAGTGAAACGTGATATTCCAAGCATAGCTCTTTCTATTCTTCTTTGGGAGACCTGAATAGCGTTCTCATCTTGTTTGCGTAGGGCCCAGGTCTCTGAGGCATATGTTAATGCAGGAAGAACAGTGGAATCAAAGAGATGTGCCCGGAGCCAGAGGTTCTTCGTCCTCTTAGCTATTTCTTCGACGTTCTTGAAGGCCTTCCAAGCCGCTCTCTTCCTCCTGCGCAGCTCGGGTGCCAGGTCATTCATTTGTCATGTTGACCTCTCGACCTAGGTACACATAGCTGTTGCATTCGGAGATGGTCGTTCCATTGAGAGTGAATGGGGCGTCAGGAACAAGGCTGTTTCTCATAAACATTGTCTTCGTAAGATTCAGCTGTAGTCCTACCTTTCCACACTCACGGTCAAAGTCGGCCAGCATTTGTGCCGCTTGGCTGATGTTTGGTGTTATTAAAACAATGTCATCAGCAAAGCGGAGGTGGTGTAGTTGCCGACCATCTATCTTCACTCCCATTCCTTCCCATTCCAGTCGTCGCATGATGTTC